GCCCTGGCAGGGATCTGTTTCTGTCGCCCTCCTGCCCGGCTGCGTGGGCATCAACGTTTTTCTCTCTAAAGTTTTGCAAGCTAAAGCGGTGCGAACCCGTTTAAGTCAGTGACCGCGTGACCTCTTCCTGCGCGGGCTGCCGTTGCGAACGGTGCAAACGATCGTGCCGAAGCCGCCGCGTAAGTAGGTGGTCGATGAAAGGGTCACGTTCCCGAACTTCGGGATGCAGCCTGTTCCGTTCCCTTAGTTTTTCAGAGTCTTGATCCTGTTTCTGAGGTGTCTTTTTCCTCTGCTTTATGGGAAGGATTATATGGGCTAGCAGTGGTTTAGGATTATTTCCTTGTCTGATCATACCTGATGATGTCAAAGTGGCTTTATTTGTTGTGTCCTTCTCTACTGCGTTAGTTTGTAATACGGATTTCTGAAGTATGCTGTTGAGTGGAAAAATTAAGACTCTTGTCTGCATAATGCAGCTGTCACAACGCTCAAAAGTGGGCAGAATAAATTGTCCAACACTATTATGTACACTTGAAGTAGGCACAGAAACTGTATCTTCATTCTGTGTCAAGCAGGTGTGCAGCTTGCATCCACTTCCAAATTTATATTTTATGGAAGACTATCATGAGAGGCCGACATCCTGGCAAGAAATGCCTTGATTAAGTTGGTGCTGAAGGCTAGCAGGTGCAGGAAGGTAGGCTTGCTGTTATACTAGATCCATGTAGAATCTTTCCATTTTTGTGAAGCTATAGACTATTCTGAAAAAATGGAAGTATCCTGAGCAAACCATATTCACAGCTCACTTTCAAACACGTACTTGTAAAACAAGTAATGAGAAGATGTCAGATAGGTATAAAACAATTACTGTCAGATCACAAGTTGGAAGACCGATTTGTTACAAAAGACTGGAAAGTATACCACTTTCTAGGACTTTTCTAGATGCTGCCTCAGGATCAAGTACCACCAGAATGCAAAAATAAATGATAATTGAATCTGTCTTCAAAAAAAAGTACAGTAAAACAGGCTCTGTTTCCATCATCTGAGATTTCCCGCTCGTGGGAGGAAATTAAACTGAAGCCACATGTGATAATTCCTATTTGTGAAAGCAGTGGAGGTTGACATGTGTATGATAAATTGGACAGCTTTAGGGAGCGTGGAGTAACAGAGGAATGGCCATTTCATTTGACTCTTTTCTGTCTGTTACCAGCTTTCTCCATGTTCCTCTTTTCCATGAGTTCTCCCAGCCCTTATTTGCAGGGAGGGCTGTGTAGTGTCGGTGTAAGGGGAAGTCAATAAAGGTGGGCCAGAAGTAAGTGCACACAGGGAAAGGTAAGAATAGTGCAAGCATGGAGTGATGCTTCCGTGGTGTGCTCTCCCTGTTGGTCATCGTTTGGGGCTCAGAATTTTCCTGAGCAAATGGTAGTGGTTTAGTTTCAATAACCCTTGTAGTTTTTCTGTGAACTTTTCCAGTTGCCTCTTGAATTCGCGTAACATTTTAGCATCGACAACATCCTGTGACAAGCAGTTCCACTGGCAAACTGCATGTTTTGTGAAGAACCATCTATGGTACCCATGAGCCTAACACCTGCTGGCTGGATTTGATACTCCTCAGTTCTGTCATAGAACATTTCTTTGCACCTGTAATGGATTTATACACCATTTGTAATGGAAGTGCAGTCTTTTGTCATCTTCAGGTGTTTGATGGATATAGAATTTTTGGAGGAAAACCTATGAAACTTGTAATGGTGTGGTGAATCACTTTGTACAGTTTTGAATAGATGTTTAAAAAAGACATTTAAAGGTAGTTCTAAAAACACTACAGTATCTTTAATGTTCTTTCTTCAATCTCTACCTATATAACTCTATATCAAATTTACCACTTGGCTCCTTCTGTAGAGCCTTATTGTTCTGAGAGCTGAGTAAAGTAGCTCTTTCATTTAGAAGATTTAGTAAACTTTTTTCCTATATTAACACATTTTCAAGTAAGGCTGAATGTTCTGTTACAGTATGTGTATTACACATCTCTTTGCATATGTGTGATCTTGTAACCAAAGTGACTTTCTTTTATTAGCTTCATTTTTTAGATAGCTTTCTGATTCCGCTGTTAGGAAGCTGAGAAAAAAGTACGTATTTTCACTGGGCGGGTTGTTAAGATGATGGTAACCAAACCTGGCTGACTGGTGATCTTGACTGTTCATCTAAACACAATTTTAACCTTGTGTGATTTGATAGCACATTAAGAGAATTGGCAGGTTTTAATGGAGGCTTATCTTCTGTTACAGAGCCTAATTTCTCTAAGTAGGAGTCTTGAAGAAAGTAACTGGTTTTGTTCTAGGTTTACACAAATATTTATTTACGTATAGAATAGACATAAAAATGGAAAGAATACCTCTAAAGGGGTCTTTATCCTTGGCTTTGTCTGTTGTCATAGAATCGTTTAGGTTGGAAAAGAGCTTTAAGATCATCCAGTCCAACCATTAACTTAACACTACCAAGTCCACCACTAAACCAATTAAGCATAGAGTAGCAATTTCATGTTTCCTGGCTAGGTGGCTGGATTATTTTTTAATGAAAGTAAAAACTAGGAATCATTAAGGGTGGAAAGGATCTCTAAGATCATCAGTCCAACCATCAACCCAACACCACCATGCCCACTAAACCATGTCCCAAAAAACCCTTGTCCATGCATACATGCTGTTGTTAGTGATATTTATATTCTTTGTCCTTAGATGTAGGAGTAAAGCAACTATTGTTAGATTGAATATTGAAGACCTTAATGCTTTGGAAATGAAGCTGTGGTTGTGTTGTATTATGTTGCTGAAGTGTTCGGGTTTCTGATCAGAGGAGATTATAGATTAATTAAGCTTAGTGTTTGAAGTGAATGATGGGATTCAGAGTCAAAGGTTGCGTTACTCTGAGTTACTCATCTACTGTGCAGACAGATAACATATTTTCCCATTTTAAATGGCTGAATTGATGGGACTTCCTCAACTTCACTTAAAGAACATAGAAACATTTTAATATTTCTATTATGCTAGTTTTCTAGTGCCTCTTGACTGGGGTGTGTTCAGGCCTTTCCAATAAGCATGCTCTCACAAAAAGAGCTGAAGAATATTGTTAGCCAGTAAATACATTTATTAACTTTTTCTGTTTGTTCTTATCTCATCAGATAGCTCAACATGAACTTTAACTATCAAGATCATTTAAAAAGTGAGCAGAACGATATTTTTTCCTTCTGAGAGCTGGCTACAGGATTCTGAGTTTCTCCTGCAGTGCTGTCCTATTCACTACCTTTTCCTAAAACAGGACATGGAGCTATGTTCCTTTCTTCATGCTAGGTGCTAATGAAGTTATTTGCTTCATCAGAGGAAATGCATGTCTGTGAAATTACATTTTGTGCAAGTAAGTTAACGAGGGGAATTTAAACTTTGCTGTCACATCATTGTTCTTACGGTTATATTGATACAGCTCCTGGAAGTCCCTTTCAGGATTGAGTTCCAACGGGTAGAGGTGGTTACCTGTGCCATTACAATTTAAAGCTCCTCTGCAATTTTGTCAAGCTCTTGAGCTGCTGCCGTGGTTATATGGTTAGCAGCATAGTTAAGGAAACGGGTGCTGTGTGCATTCCGTGTGAATTGTCCTGCTGGGAGCACGTGCATGAACTCAAATAGAGATAGGTAAAAGTTTCTAGAACTACAGGTTTAATTTCTGGAATGCTTCACTCCAGCGAGCTAATCTAGAGCGAGTCCTCAAGTTGTTTTGTTTTCTGGTTTTGTGTCCAGCTGATCAAAACACTTTGTACAATAGCGAATTCTGTAGTGAAGCGCTGAAATAACAAGTGTACCTGATAAAAGCCCAGAGGTATTCAGCAGACTACAGGCAACAGTGACTTCTGCTGCTGTTATGACTTTGGTGAAAGTCTGATATGCTGTACAAGTAAAATGCAAGGGTAATAACTTGGAATTTGTTTAGCTACTATGATGCATCTCAAAGCAGGTTGAAGTTTGACTGCTGGTGAAGTTGAATTTCTTAAATTGAAAATTACAACACATTTTCAATGTTTTCATTATTATATGCCTCTTTCTCTCTGAGGAGTTGTCATGGTTTAACCCCAGCTGGCTAGTAAGCACCACACAGCCGCTTGCTCACTCCCACCCCCCCGCCGGTGGGATAGGGGGGAGAGTCAGAAGGGGAAATGAGAGAAAACTCGTGGGTTTAGCTAAGTGAGAAAACTCGTGGGTTGAGATAAGGACAGTTTAATAGGTAAAGCAAAAGTTGCGCACACAAGCAAAGCAAAACAAGGAATTAATTTACTACTTCCCGTCGGCAGGCCAGTGTTCAGCCATCTCCAGGAAAGCAGGGCTCCATCACGTGTAATTGTTACTTGGGAAGGCAAACGCCATCACTCTGAATGTCCACCCCCTTCCTTCTTCTTTCCCCAGCTTTATATGCTGAGTATGACATCATATGGTAGGGGATGTCCCTTTGGTTGGTTGGGGTCAACTGTCCCAGCTGTGTCCCCTCCCAACTTCTTATGCACCCTCAGCCTACTGGCTGGCAGGGCAGTATGAGAAGCTGAAAAATCCTTGACTAGTGTAAGCACTGCTCAGCAACAACTAAACCATCAGTGTGTTATCAACATTACTCTCATCCTAAATCCAAAATACAGCACTATGCCAGCTACTAGGAAGGAAATTAACTCTATCCCAGTGAAAACCAGGACAGGAGTAAATACCCTTGAAAAAATGGAATATTGATTATTATTCAATAAGTATCCTGATGTATATATAATCTTTGGGTAGTGGGAAATAGGGGAGGTGAGAGTTCAGGGATAAAATAGCTATTTCCTTGCTTTTATGAAGCGGCAGTGCTATTTTTGGGAAAATTTGGATTCCTAACATTTCAGAATACAGTCCTTTAGTTGCTAAGGCTTGTAAAGCACCCTTGATGTCATAGTTTGAAAGGTGCTGCAAACATGTCAGTATTGCACTCAAAGCATATTTCAGCTGTATTCAGAAATCTGTTTTCTTTTGCAGTAGTGAGTGTATGGAACTTGAGTAGCATCATCTGAGGGAGGCAAAAATATTTTTTTCATAATCTCTTAAGTGATAGGTGTAGTATATGGTAGGAGTCTGCAGAGCAATGTTAAGAGTTGAGGAAGTGTTTGTTTTTGGCTTCTTATAAATTCTAGCATTTCGCCCACTTGTAAGAGGACAAATTTGTGTAGCGATACTTAGCAGATAAGTGATCCTTCTTTTAATGCTTGTCTTGCTAAACTTTTGGATGTTTTGATTTAACGTAAGGTTTGAAGAACTTGAAGGTTTTAAAAATGTGTTTTCATTCTTGAAAGACTGTCTGCAGGCTATGTGTTTATGCTGTTAAATGCCTGCTATCAATTTTCTCCTTCTGACTGAGAAATGTTTAATACCCAACTTTTTAAAGTGACTGTATTCCACAAAGGTTTAATTATTATGCTTTGAAAATTAAATACTCTAAAAGCTGTAGGCTTTGCAAGCACCATTTCAACCTGCTCAGTATTTGTGTAATACTGATAGACCCATTTTGAAGATTTAAAGAAAGTGGTGACCCAGATAAGAAAAAAGACATTTCATATTTCAGAAATCGTTGTGAGTTGGGAGAGCTGGATTATACTCCTTGCTGTCCTGATCCTTGATTTCCTATTTGATAGTACATAAGTTGTGTAAGTTTCTGTTTGTCAGGGTACTTAAGCAGGTACTCAGTAACACAGTTTCATGAAAGCACATTAATATTATTGCTTGATCAAGACCTGGATCACTTTTCCATCTGGCATACCTTTACAGTACATGTTTTTCCTATTGTTCTTGTTTGTTTAGACAATCACTGTTGTCTCACTAAACAAGAAGACTCACAGCTTGAAGGGTGCAAGTGCTACAATAGTACTAAGGCTAAGTAATAGTGTTTCAATCTCCACAGGTATCTCTAGGTGAGGGCTTATGGCAATTCAGATAAAAATGTTTGAAAACATGACATTGATGTCAGATGTGCTGCTGCTTTGTGGGTTGCATAGGCTAACAGGTCCTATTCAGTTAGGACTCCAATCTGAGTTACGGTTGAAAATCTTCCCTGTGCCCCATTTTAAGCCTGAGACCAGCATACAGCTTGGGAAGTTTGATTAATCACGTTGACTCTTTTTGTTTTTGCTTTTGCCTTAATTCTGATTCCTCCTGATTTGTGTTTTGTTGTAGGTTGTCGTTAACTCTATTGGCAATGTCTATGATTTTATCTGCCTCTGTGGTCCGTGTGAGGGATGGACTCCCACTGTCTGCATCTACTGATTATGACCAGAGCACGGGAATGCAAGAATGTAGAAAATATTTTAAAATGCTCTCAAAGAAACTTTCTCAGCTTCCTGATAGATGTACTCTGAAAACTGGGCAGTATAATATAAAGTAAGACTTCTCTTTTGTATATTTGCAACGTCCTGGGTTGGGTCTGTTGTTAAGTTAAAAAGGTAACAGTTCACATTCGAAATGATTAATCAAACTAAGATTAATTCTTGGCAGTACTTACGTATCAGAAATTTAAAATTGAGAAATTGTAGAAAGATTTCAAACCTACTCAAACTTTGGTGGAAGTTCTAGTTTGAAATAGCACAGTATTTTTATAAATATCAAAGTCCTTGACCTACTAGAAATACTCCTTTAAATTTCAAGGTTGTTTCTTACATGAAAATGACCAGACTTGTTCTTTCTCATGCTAGTTGAACTAGTATTCATTTGTTTTCTCTTTTTAGTCTACACAAATTTAAAAAAGTACCCAAATACTTTTCATAACCCAGTATTTCTGAAAACTTGTGGTTAGGATGTTATGGAATTGGGCCCTTTTATTGTACCTTCAGGATTTCTGTTGACTTCAGAGAAAACATGCCCTGAAACCCAAGCATAACTCAATAATTATTTCATATGGCACACAGGGAGCGAGGGAGTGGGAAGGGTGGGAATGATTTTTCTAGTGTGAAGGCAGTGTGTAGTAGAGTCTTGAATGGTTGAGTGGAGCCTACCTATCCTACTGCTCCATCCAGCACTTTCACAACAGTGCTTTTTGTTTTCACGCTTCTGTGTGTTGACTTTTTTTTTTTAAATAACTATTCCTAAATTTTTTGAGCTAGTCAATTTGATAGTGTGTCTGCATGACAACACCGATGACGTAATAGTTCAGAAGATGCCCTTTTTTTCCATTTGCAGTGTGAAACTTAGATTATCGCGAAATAATTGAATCCATTGTTTACTCAGAATTTTGCTTTATATGTGACCTTTCTCCTTAGTATTGGTAACTAGGTGCACCTGTGCATAGTTGGTAATTCAGTTGCACTTCAGCTGACCTAAATTCTGATTCCCATTTAGATACGCTATTTTAAATGACAAGAGTAATTTCATCCTGACCCCTAGCAAATATGTAGAAGTTACAGTGGTGGAAAGTATACCACCTGAATGATCCTAGAAAGTGCTCAGCCTTCTCCATCTCCCATTGGTATATGTGAGTTTTCAGCATTTCTCAGATTAGGCCTAGCATGGGCTAAATTTTTCCAGTTGGTGTTTTTTAAAACCTCAGCTACAGTTGGCTTGTAAACCGATCAGCTTAAAAGAAACTTCTAAGAATGAGACATAAGGCTTAGTCAGGATGTTTTTTATTACTGTTGTCTTTGATTACTTTTAATAGTGTAAGTTATCCATCAAGATTTTGAAGAAATTTGAATGTGTCATGAAAATGTGAACTCTAATGAATTGCCTAAACGCAATAGGGACATGTGTATTGAAAACTGTCCCTTTCTAATTTCATATTTGCCATCTCTGGTCATCCTTGCAACTGTCTTTGGAGAATGATGAATCTTGTATTCTACAGAACTGTTTTATTTCCTCACATATTTTGGGAAGAACCAACTGTCCTCCCTCCCAATCTGAAGATAAGTTTTTGCATTTTTGGGATGCACCAGATCACATATTTTGCATTTGAGATGAATGAAAAGCTATTATGGGACAAACCTGCTGTGTTTCTGTATCCCAAAAATGTTATGGTTTTTTTCTGTTCCATGTATGTGAGTGCGTACATATGTATACACACACACACATATATATTTACATACACATAGATGTATAACACAGCTTCTCATATGATTGTACAACATGGTGTTAAAGTAAAACATTGCCTAAAAGTAAATTATTTTTCTTCTAGAATAGTGTTGGACTTTTCAGTAAACATTAATTCTTTTGCTAGCCCAGAGCAGTTTTGCTTTTCTGATTATAGAATATGAGATCAGACTAGCGAAGCCGCGAATTACCTGGATTTAAATTTGAAATTGTGAATTTGTTGTCTCAATTGTAGCTTTATAAGTTCTCTGGGAGTAAGCTATATGATGTTGTGCACTGAAAATTATCCCAGTGTCTTGGCTTTCTGCTTCCTGGATGAGCTTCAGAAAGAGTTCATCACTACCTACAATATGATGAAGACAAATACTGCTGTCAGACCATACTGTTTTATAGAGTTTGGTAAGGATCTGACTTTCTTTTTCCTTGATTGTCACTCTAAGACAAATGAGTATTTAAATTGATGTGCAACTTAATGCACACAAAACAGAAGTTCAAGGCAGTTTATAGCTGTATTTCACGTGGATTTAGAATCTGATTTAACTCCCGTTAGAGTCAATAAAGAAATACTTCTGTGGGCATTAAATTAGGCTACTAGTGTTTTATCCAAACTTGTTTATAACCTCTCTGTTCATTCCAGTAGGTTTTGGTTTAAGTGTTGTGTGACCAAATTTGTAGTTCGTCTTCTCCTTGTTAATAATGCTAGGAGTTGTTTGACTTCATCCCTGTTGAAATACTTAACCTGTAAAGGCATTGAGCTTCATAAATTTCTCAAGAAAAAGATTGCAATTTCATGTTTGCTCTTAGCTGTCCTGTAATTTTTGTTCAGTACATGAAAGGGAGAGATTTTTATTTGTCTTACGATACAGTGAAGCATTTAGTCTTCTGTCATGCAAGCTCCAAAATACAACTAATCTCATATATACCAGATAACAGCTGTTATGGATTCCATTAATATCTGTCGCTTTAATACTGTGTGTTAGGCACTCTTTAAAATATTCTTATAAAACACATTAGAGGGAAAAGAACTGTGGTTTTAGAAATATGGGGGAAGATATTGCAGTTGGATAATTCCTGTCTATAATTCAGTCAGGCAATTTTTAACAATTTCTGTAAAACATCGCAGTCTTCCTTGTGAAGATTTTCCCCCCCTCCAATGCCTTCTTTGTTCTACTAGTTGTTAAGTTAGAATGTAGGTCTATTACAGTCTTTATATCTGTGTGATATGGTATTAATTTTCTCCATCTGAATATTTTGCAATCACGTTTCGTAAGTAAGTTTATACTTGAATGCAGAAGTTAATTTTTTCATAAGGATATTTACTAAACTAACAGAAAAGTTAGAATAAGGGCAGTAAATGCATTGTATTAGCAATGCATTCAGTCTCGTGCAGTGAAAAGTCATTAGTTTATTCACAGCTATTAAGTAATTCGATTTCTAGAGCTTAAATTTTTTTTTACGGCAGAATTAAATAGCCCATGATATATTAGTCACAAAACAGAAATAGTATTAAATAATCCAAGATAAATACAAGCATTTCAAACAATGTATTTTGATTTGTGAAGTATGTAGTACATAAAGCTGCATGGTCTTGGATTAACAAAAATTAACAAAAGTCCATAAGGATATACCTTTTTATTTTAAAATTTATACAGATAATTTCATTCAGAGGACCAAACAGAGATATAACAACACACGTTCTTTGTCAACAAAGATGAATCTTGCTGACATGCAGACAGAAATCAAACTGAGACCACCTTATCAAATTTCTGTGTCAGAACTTGGTTCAGCTAATGGGTTCACACATTTATCTGTGGCGGAATATAAGGGTACTGGTAAGATATCTGCAGGTAAGTTTCAGACTGTTGTTTTTGTATCCTTCAGTGAGACAGATGCAGGGTAGTAGAATTACTCTTTGATATTTTTTCTTTATAAAAACCTTTTCCACTGCTGCGATGTTCTTAAAGCATAAAGCTGCCATGACTTGTATTTTAGTATAGATGTCTGTTTTGTCCTCTGCTCAAAGTGCCTGTTTTCCCAAGATGGGGCAAGGGGGTCTATTCAATGGACTGCTTTGTTGCAGGGAAAAAAAAAAAAATGTGCATGAAAATAAGCAAATGAAGATGAGCACTTAACAAGATTATCTTCTTTCTTTTACTGACCTTTTAAGATTTATGAAAATTTTTATTATTTCTGCCCAGTAAGACCCAATGATGACATAAGCTAAGAGCATAGTGTCAAGAGTTAGAGCAGCTGGAATGAGAAGCATCACTTTAGGGAGCATCTGTGATGGTGAAAATCCAAAGAGCTGCACTGGCTAAAAGATGTACTCTCTGAAATAAGAGCCTTGTGTACGATGTTAATAATAGCAATTTTGTACATATGTGCCACATTCATTTAAGTGCTCATTAATTTTTAAACCTTTATTTCAAGTAGGAGGTAAACATGGAATTCATAGAATCATAGAATCGTTTGGGTTGGAAAAGACCTTT